AGAGAGAGAGAGAGAGAGGTTGAAAGGAAGGGTTGGAAACGAGTTGGAAAAGGCGGTTCGAAATTCGTCGCGCTCGATAATCCGTGCGCAAGGATCTTTTTTCTGGTCGTCAGATTTGGTAGAAGGGAAGTGGGTCACTCGGTTGAATGGTAGCCAGGACGTTGTACCGAGTATTATTCAATATGGCCTCGGCTAGCTGGCCGCGGCGACATACTTCTTTTTCATCGTCGAGCGACGATTGTTCGGGTAGCCGGCGTCTATAGAAACGTTTCTAAAGCTGGTTCTCTCTCTCTCTTCAATGAGCTGTCGCACCTGTGGTGGCCATGCTAGCTTGTCGTTAACATTCTAACAAAGGAAAACCTGAAAGTGCTCGAAACAGGGTTGATATTCGGAACACGGTTACAAAATACATAGGGAGGTTTGACGGTAAAGTTGAGCTCGTCCTCAACGTGAAATTGTTACATTCCTATTGGTTCCTTCGTTGCCGAATTTCATCCCATCTTTCGTGTGATCTCTAAGGGAAGAATAATAATTTCGGGAATATTTTCAGGTGATCGTCTTCGAAACTGCTCAACGTACGAGTTTTCGTTTGTACAGAAAAAAAGTAGAACATTGTTCAAGAAAATAAGAGGAGGAAGATTGTTGTTGTTGAGATCCATTTTTAAAATTATTTTTTTAAAATAGAATTCTTCAATCAAAAAGCTATTCGGAAATGAAATATGGCTAATCGATTGCGAAAAAACTGTTGATCCAAGATGGACCAAGTTCGATTCTTGAGATTGAAATGAATGAGATTGATATATTTAAAGCCACCTAGAAAAAGAGAGAAAGAAATGGTGCAGAAACGACAGAGGTTGGATACGAAATACTCCTGATATATCGAAAGGAATACAGAAAAAAAAAAAGGAAAAAAAATAAATTCCAGTGGACGGTGTTCCAATTTGGTTAAAAGTTTCGTAGCCGGAACAACGTATTTTACGATTGTCGTTGGGTGTAGCTGGTAGTGGCCAGGTATCAAGCTTGTGTTTCTATTCCCCTTCGTCGAAACAATTCCCCGCAGTTTGGGGTAAAAAAATTTATTCGATCGATACGCCCTTTTTTCTTTCGTCTCGATAACGCTCGTACTCTCCGGTTTATCGAATCGAGATCCAATTGTCGAATTAAAGATACTTCTTTATTTTCTTCTCAACCACCTTGTACGTCGTCGTGCAGTATCACGGACTTGATATTTACCGTATCTTTTATCCAATCCGTAATTTGGATAGAAGTTTTTTTTTTTTTTTTTATTATATATTTAATTTGGAAGGCAAGGAAAATTGTTTCGTTACGTTTCGTTACATTCTTTTTTTTTTTTAATCCAAATTTTCGGACGAAATATCCTAATAAAAGATACGCGGGATATCTATCTCCAATAGCCGATATTAAAACGATGCAATATTTTATCCATAGCGTCTATGACATCATGCTCGGGAATTTTTTATCCCAAATTTTCAGATAAAACGTTTCGAATCTTAATAAAAGATATATAGGGATATATCCCGGTCGATATTACCGATATTAAAACCACGTTGAGATATTTTATCATATCCACCTCGCTATCAAAAAGACCTTAACTTTATAATAATAACTCTACGAGAAACGATCGATTCTGAATATCGAGCGAATAAATTCTCTGCATTCACCGATTCATAATTAATCGATACTTGGAATCAAACAAAATCTCATCGAAAAGATCATCGAAATTTACGTGTATCTCTACAATAGCCCTATAAAGTTAAACAGCCATTCCAAGACAAACGTGGAAATTTATTTCGTTCGTTCCAACATGAAATCTCGCTCCACTGCTCGCCGATAATTTCCAACGCATCGCGATATTGTATCGAACGAATCCAATTGGACGAAGGAGGAGAAGGAGCAGACAGGTCCACAGGAGGTCTGATTCGATAAAAATTGCCATCCTTCCCTCTCGAGAAGGGCTGATAATCCCGACGAGAGGGAGGTAAGGAAGGGAAAAGTTACGACACGGTCCGTTTCGAGAGATGATCGCGTCGACGCGTTGACCCACGCCACGAGCGGATATTACAACGATAAGGCCACTCCACTTTGTGCAGGGCAGAAATTCCAACTGAGAATCCGCGAAAAGTAATATCGTTATCGGGCATCGGATGTCGGGATGGCGTATACAAGGTGACCAGGCGGAATCGGAAACCGCGTTTGATTCCGCGCCGCATCATTCCGCTTTCACGAGTTTCCTCTTTTACCGTGAAAATAAATAATAATATCCGGATATCGAGGTATATAAGGATAAAGTGATTTCGTTCCTTGCGAAATTATTATTATTATTATTATTTTTGTTTTTAAAAGTGTAACCTTTAAAAGTTTTCAGCGGAGAGTTGCGCTAAATTCAATTTTATCGTATCGAGGAAATATTCATCTTTAAACCTGCCTCCCTTTAAAATTGAATATTTAAAATTGGATTCGATATTTGCACACAGTTGGCTACGTCGATTTGTACGAGCTGTAGGTTATCGATTTCAAAAATTTGGACTGGAAGAAGGAAAAAAATGGATATAATGGAGTTTCTCGCGATCCTTGTAATATATTTCCTCATGAACCTACAACAAATTGATTGTAATTTGCATAAGGATACGAATGAATTCCGATACTAAGAGAATGACAAAACGAACGTTCGTTCGATTCCTCTCCCTTCAACAACAAGGGTTGAAGAAGGGGTCGCTCGTGACAGGAGCTACAGGTCAGGGGCGGGAAAAGGCACGTTGAATGGACACTCGCGTATAAAGGAGCGGTTGAGTGTGAAAATCTCGTCGACGATGTCCAGACACGCGGCAAAAGGAATCGCGCGAGGGATCGAAGGAAGGAAGGAAGGATGGTATCCTCTTCCAATGATTGTTCACAGAGCGAAGACGATCGAAGATCTATCTCACGTTTCCCTCCCTTTTGCCACGGCTCGTATCGTTACGAGATCCTTTCTCCTCCCCTTCCTCCTCTCTCGCTCTATTTCCCTCTTTAACTTTCACGATCGAGCCATCCCCGGTTTCATAGGGAAAGTTCATCTTTTCCCTACGCCTCCGTCTAGCCGTTTGCTTTGTGCAACGAGAAATGCGCGTGGAATCGTTATTTCCCTCTCTGCATCTCTGCCCCTCCTTCTTCTGTACATACAGCGTTTGGAAAAAAAAGTTTCGCGAAAAATTTCGGGCGAATTTCCCAGCCTGGAAAAAGCCTCTTTTCAAGCATCTGACCTGGTATTTAATTCTTCGAATTAGAGTGAACAAACAGGAGAACCGTTACTGGCCAAACATCCACCATTACTACTCTACTTCGACCGCCTTCTTTTCTCAACCGTGCACATTTGGCGAATGAAAGGAGTTTTCGATTTTTAGGAAGGATTTAATTGTTACTGGAAATGGTGATAAACCACGATATAAATATTTCTATCATCCTTTCTTCGATAAGTAAACGCGTAATACTATCTTGGCATATAAAGCATGGATAGCACGTACGAATATGAAAGAAGGCTTTAAATCTTCGAAACGTTACTCTTAAATCGTTGTAATTGACAATTCTTAATCTCACATGATCGAAATCGAGAACGGAAGAAGAAAATAAATTAAATCGTTTACAAAGTGCATCTGTACACGCCCTTACCTTTCTTTCTTCTCTACTTTTCTAAAAAAAAAAAAACTACCTTAAGCTCTATAAATAACACGGATAATGATAATCGAGAAATTTTCAAATTGTCCTCGAATGTTTCCTCTGTTTCGACGCCGCTGCTACATTACACCATTTTCGTTCGTTCGAACAATGGAATTCGATAAAAATGAACGAGCGATACGTACCTGTATCTCTGAGTGTCCATTTCCTTCCGTTCCTCGGCGATGGCCTCGTTCAGGTCCCTGTTCGGATCGATCCCCCTAGGAGTCGGATTGCTGGCTAGCAGATTGTCGTTGCTGACGAATTCCACCTCGACGTCGTCCTCGTGATACGTTTCCGTCAGCGTGTACTCGCGTAGCTGTAACACACCAGAGTTGTGCCAAGTTTGTCGTTCGAGCAATCAGAAATTACCTCGATCGAGAGACAAAATTTCGCGAAAGAATCGTTTCGTTTCCAGAAGAGTTTCTAATACGACAAGATAATACAGGATCGAATTCGAAATTGGCCGACGTCGTTTCAGAAATTTGTATTTGAATAGCTGGATTCAAGCGCGAACTTTGTGCATTATCGCGCAACGAAGCTCGCTTAAATTAACCGATAATACCTGTCGGATAGTAATTGGCCGAAATAAGCTGAATACTAATTGCGAATTTCCATAATGGTTTATGAATCTTCTTCTTGAAAATCCCATCCCATATTTCGAAGTTGTGAACTCGCGACAAACCCCTTAATTGGAACAACCAATCTTTTATCCGTTCAAATGGAAGAATCGAGTCGATTCCAACTTTATTCCAATTAAATTTTGAGAATCTTTTTTGTATGTAAATAATCGCGAGTATAAATTTTCTTAAAAACATCATTTTCTGACGTTAAGTTTAATCGCAATCGTGTTAAATTTTTACGACTGAGAAATTCTATAGAGATAAGATTGCACGCGAAAATTCGGTTAATTATCGGACACGATTAGAGTACGATTAATTTATCGTACTGAAACGAGAATTTTTTATCACGCGTCATTCCGGATGTCATTCCGAATCTTTAAATTGTTCGAATTGACTCGACTTTATTCCGATATTTAAGAATCTTTCTGGCGGCCAAGTAGTCGCCATCTAAATTTTTTAACGTAATCACATTCTCGATAATTTCGAATCGCGTTTTCATCGTTCGTGCCTGACGTGTACGCCATTAAGTTTAAGTAATCGTATTAAATCGTATTATGAGCGAGAAATTCTTCGATCATAGGATAAGATAGCAACTAATAACACATTTCCGTGAAACTACGGATAATTTCAATGTAACGAGAATTTTTTTTATCACCCGTTATTCCTTTAAACTTTATCCGTTCAAATTGATTCACTTTATTCGAGTTGCCGTACAAATTTTCTTCCAAGCGCATTTTTCGATAATTTTCGTCCCAATTTCGCGATGCACGCCATCAAGTTTCGTAATCGCATTAAATTCTTACGATCGTGTATAGACAAGATAATTTCAGATGCAAAGTGCGACAATTGGCCGATCGATTAATTTATCAATGTAGCGAGAATTCTTTTTATCTCTCCCTATCATTCCGGATATACGTGTCGTCGAATTGAATCGCGTGTACGTACCGTTACATGAAACTCAATTTGGGGAGGGCGCGGGGGACGATTGGCCAACGTTGTCGAATGAAATTTTCAAAAGCGACAATCCAACCGAGCCACCGAGTCACGAACCGAGTTTCCACTCCGTGATTAGTTCCCTGCCGCGGAGGATATCCCGGGGGGACGTGGCAAGTATCGGCAGAGTCCCGATTGATCGGTCCAACCGGATTAAAGGGAATATCGAAGACTTTGCGGACCTCGGCGCGCCCTTTTCCGCCATTCTTCCACGCAATTCTCTCGCAACAAGTATGGAGCCGCGTATGGATCGCCGTTTTCCTTTTCTTTTTCTTTCTTTGCGCAACGAAGGGGGAAGGGAGTGGGGTTTTCGTGCATTGGAAGGCTGCGGTAGAAAAGTTTGAACACACACCGGGATGAAAGACGATATTTGGCGCAGTAGACACAGGTATGAATATTTTTCTTCATCTTATCTGTGTGGTGAATCGATGCGAGAAGAGGGAGAAAGATGTTATTTGTTATTCGTGATTTGAAGACATTTTTGGATTTGGTAAAATTTATAAAAGGCATAACAATTTTTTTAATAATAATTAATACACGTGCTTAAAATTTGCTTGTTCTTTTTTTTTAGAAAAAAAATCATCATCGATCCTTTTACAACAACAACGATTCAACAGCTTCTAAAACTCGGAAAACTAGGACTAATTCTATTCTTTTCGTTCGAGTGTATTCGAGCCTTTTCCCCCGGCGAGCTTTTTTTTCGCGTTTCTTTTCTTCTTCTTCTTCTTCTTCTTCTTCTTTTTTTTCCTTTCCTCTATCAGCGATCGTGTTTCGCTCAATAGGAACCCGTACTTCTGCCACAGACGCTGATAATCGATTGGAAGCCATAATTGGAGGCTGCCACCGTACGTGAAACAATTAATTAGACCTTAATTAGCGCTCGGCCCAGTTTCAAAGCTCTCCCCCCCCCCCTGACAGCGGGTTGGTATCCGGAGGAAGCTGGAAGTCATCGTATTACTCTCGAAAACTCGTCCAACAGATAAAAGAACGGGTTTCGCCCCTCTTCTATTTAATTCCCTTCCCCCCCTCGGTCATTGACGAGACCTTATCGCCGTGTAATTAATCCCAAGCGGTGGAATACGATACTAATTCCATACGCTCTCGTCCATCCAATCTCTTCTACATATAATCACATATGACCTTCGACCTCAATTTTTTTTTTTCCATTTTCTTCGCAAATTTGAATAATTTTTGAATCTCGAATTCGATCGATTATCCATGGATTCTTAGCTAAAACGAGATTCTGTTCAGATTCTGCGTTTTCCTAGATTCTTTGGAAATGGACAAGAAGAAACGAAATGTATGAATTTTTTCATTTTCCAAGGAATAAGGAGGTTTTCTCGGATGGATCGATATAATTTCCAAGGTGCCTCGATCGGCGGGACCACTCGTGGGAAAGGGAGAACGATTGGTAATAATCTCTAATTAACATCGTCTCCGTGAAGGCGGTCGTCCAATTAATTGGAGGACTCAAGTAGGTCGTCAGACTCGCATAGCTTCGCAATAAGAGCGCCAACTTTCTCTCCTCCTTTCTTCGATTCTCGTTGCGAAGGGGGCGAGATAAAAACCGCCCCTCTGCAAATTATCCCGTTAAACCTCACCTCGAGACCGATCGTCCAATTCTATTCTCTCTATGAGAAATGTGTTCTTTCGCTAAAATTTCCAAAATCCCAAGCAGCTATTCTAATTCATCGAGTCTCTCGAAGTACGCACAGAGATCGAGTCGATACGATCGACCATTTTAATTCGGATTAAAAACGTGCGTGGCAATTTTGTGGGCAATCGTGCTTCCTTCGTTTCGCGTTAAATAACACCAGAAGACGAGATTTTCATTGGAACGATGAACAAAAGTATTTTCTTTTGCGATAATTGACGGAGTTTATGGCGGAAAAATTTCAAACATTTCTCGATTGGATAGAATTTTTAAATATCGAACACTCGTAGTATCCACGCATCAACTTCTCAAAATCGAACTTCGGTTCTTTTTCTACATTCGAAGAAGAATTTCTCGTTACAAATACGAATTATTTATTCAATACTTATTCCTCCACGAGAGTTGGAAGAAATCTAGGGATGAAAAAAGGATGGTTCGAACCCAAACACATCTCTGTCCACTCTGCTATGATCGAAAAAATTATCCTAGATGTACACCAACCGTGTACATTTACTTATTTCGAACCGACGCCTTCGTCTTTTCTCTCATCCCTGGATTCCTTGCTCCGGATGTCTGCGCCATCGAGGGAGCCGATTCTCAATGAATCTCGAATCTTTCTCTCGCTCTCTCCGCTCAGAGCAGAGGGTGAAAATTTCCGGAAAATATCGAGGATGTACAAAGAACGTGTAAAAAAAAAAAAACGTCGCAAACGTAAAAAAAAAAAAAAAGAAAAAAAATGGCGATCGTTATTATATACCCTGTATATTTCAACGAAAAAACGGCCGATTCGATTCGGGAAACGGGAGGAGAAGGAATAAATAAATGAATAAAATCGAAGGGGAGAGTGCGCGTGCGGTATATAAATCTCTCTTGTATTTACGAGCGGGGGAGAGGGGGAGTATATTTACGCGTTCATTTGCTCGGGGCAGTGGTTTGCAGCGCAGGAAGCTCGTTGTCGAGGGCAGAGAGTAAAGGGGGGGTTCGCTTGGCTTCGGGGCGTAAACGCAAATTTGAAAATTCCCCCCTATTCCCCCTTTCCTGGTTTCCTGGCGCAAACGACACTTCCTCGTTCATTAACAGCCCCGTGTCGCGGCGTAGACTTAATCTACGGGAGTGTGCAAAAACGAGCGCGCAAAAACCGATAGATCGTGTCGAACGAGACGGACGAGAGTGAGAGTGAAAGAGGGAAGAGAGAGAGGGAGAGGAGAGTATATGGAGATACAACGGTATTTAGCCGTTGGCAACACGAGAGACTCGCATAAATTTGGATGATCAGTTTTTGGGCGACCACGAGAATTCGTCGGTCGCCCTGCTTTTTCAAAGATTATCGGGGAAATAGTAGCGGGGCTTGAATTGTCTCGTTCGAACAGATTTTCATTACGCATATTGTATGTTGCCTCACCCCCTTCTTCGTTTGAGAATTTTTAGAATTTAATTTTACGTCGATTCCGATTATCTTGAGGGTTCGGAATATTTGGAATCTTCAGATCACTCGAAAGATCTTTTGCCGAAAGCATTTTTCAAAAATTATGTATTTCGATGAGAAAAATATGTTATTCTTTTTTACTTGGCTGTGATACAATCGTCGTGGGAGAGACATAAAGAAAAAAATATCTTATCTTCGTTGACGAATTAATTTGATCTAATAATTAAGCTTTTTTTAGAATTTATTTCTTCCGGGTCGAAACTCTTCTCGGATCGTTTTCTCGAATAGCTGCCGTATTCTTCAGCTTTACTGCCTCTTTAGAAAAGCCTCTGAAACCTCGCTCCTATTCTCTTCTCCCGCGAAATCCGCGGGAGTAAAGCTGCATTTTCCCCCGTGCACGTTAAGATTTCTCTTCATCTAGCTCCGCGATATTCTTTCTTCTCTCGTATCGCGCGAGAGAGAGAGAGAGAGGAGGTTACTTTTCCACGCCGAGGGCGGTTATTTAC